CAACTCAGCTGTGTGAACTCAGAAGTGCATCTTGGGCTTTTGGTTTTGGTCACTGGTGGTTTCCTGCCTATGTTTTAGTGAGTGTCATTTTTTTCCTTAAAAAAGACCGGATTTATACACTGCAGTGCAAATAACCAGCTTACAAAATGGTACTACCAGGTTACAATACTGCTTTATTGCTGAGAAAATTTAAGTAAGTTCACGGTGATAATATCCATGGGCAAGTGAAAGACAAGTATGTACCACAAGACTTCAGAGATTGTATAAAAATTCTTATTCTTTCTTCTAGTTATTAAAATCATGGGGGCGGAGCAGGGGGAGAGGAAAAATGAGAAAGAGAGAGTAATATGCTAAAAAGGGCTGTTCCTTATATTGGTCAGACCTAGTGCTTCCTTTCTTATTTATATTTTGTGTTCATAGTATTAGGTCTTCATTAAGTTACATGCATTTGTTATGAAGGTCAGGTCATATCATTGTAAACAGCTGTGCTTGAACAACTGCTGGTGTTTATAACTAATGGGCATGTTATTGTAGTCAGACATGTGCTTAAAATGTAACTGCAGTATTTGTTCCTTAAAAGCTAAGGGTCTAATTCTCTACCTTTAGTTCTAAGTAAATCTTTGCTATTTCAAAGATCAAGCACTTAATACTCACAAACTGCCTTTCAAAATATTAGTGTCAGGAGTCACATAAATGGTTTTCTGCAATTCACAGACTCTAATACAAATCTAAATTTTCCTAAAGCTCCTTTATTTGATGCTCACAATCGATCAAGCAGCTTTTTTGCTTATCTGCTTTCATTAAAATTATCTGCAGTACGTTCTGTCTTTCTAACTCACTCTGGCTGCAGCAGGGAGAGAACCACCTGTAACAAGATATCTAATCACCAACGAACTCCTGCAACACTTTTAACATGCAGGGTCCTTTTAATGTTTTATGTCTTGCAAGTTTCACAAAGGCTATATTGTTTAAGAAACATTTTCTGTAGTCTGTAAATCACAGGTAGAGGTCTCAGCTTCTGTCACAAAGCTGCATTTAATGATATACAGAGCTAGTGTATGCTCAATAAGCAAGTTAAGTGTAGCTGAAAATCGGGTAGATCACTTTATAAAGCACTGTGGAGGATATATCCATCTGAAGATAATAAATAATGAGAATATACCACTAAAACATACAGCATTTAAAAAAACATGCTGATTTGAAGACAGAAGTTGTTTGATCTGTTTAAGGAACCCCAGAATGGTCCTTGACTTCTGCTCTGGGCTGCTACAGTGTTGTACAGTGCACAGTTAAGCTTTGTAAAATGCTTTCGTCTCACAATCAATACAATAGAAAGTACAAGCTGAAGGTACAATGAAATAAATTCAGATTTCACTTCTAATACTCCAATACTCCATTTTGCGCTGAAATAATCCGTGAGTCCCACATCAAAACATTAGGCCTTCTCCAAGTTAAAGAAAAGCTAGGAAAATTATTCACAAATGTTTGCATGAATTCTAAATTGCTTTCCTATTCAAAAGTGTTCACACCCCTTTTGGTGATTAATCCATGAACATTTGTGCTAATGGACATCTGCCCACACAAATGTTTGGCTTTTCACTAAGTGACAACTTATTTTATTTGCAAATAAGGTATTGGTGCCCCAGTAGGGCACTCACCATCATCCACTTAAAGACTAGGAACAGTGCCATGTGATTTAGGTTACTAATCTTATATAATGAGTTGTGAATAGGCAAAGATATAGTGGAATTAACAGTTGAGGAATACCACACGAGTAGAAATGTACTCTAGATGAGTATCTGACACTCCGAACTGAAAAGAAACACAAAAAACTAACAACCAGAAACCCCAAACCAAGCAACCAAAAAAAACCACCCCAATATCTAGGCTGCTGTGAAAATAAGAAAAGGGCTGCATCAAATAAAATATTTCTGTAAGTAGTATTACCTGTTATAGCTGTACTACTACAGCCTGGGTTTGGGTAGGTCTGAAACCTGATGACTTAAGGTTTTAGAAGAGAATATAAAAAAAAAAAAAAAAAGACTTCTATAGCTTATATAGAAAGCAAGGAACTGAAGAATTTCTTTAACTGGGTACATACCTGGCATTAACTTGCAGGCACTCAGGCACTACTGAAACTCTCAACCAAACTTCCCAAGCTGTTGATACTTACTAGTGAGTTCAGCAAGGCAGCCAAAAGCCAAGATATATTCTGCAGTTTTCAGCCTTAGAAATGAACTGGAAGTGTTAGGAAAGCAGGCTTCTGCTGAGTTTATTTTCTCTGTTTGTGAGCTTGGCAATATCTTAGCTGTTTTCTTAGCTATTGATTTTTCAGGTGGTAGTCTGATATTTAACCAATACCTTCAGGAAAGTGCTCTTTTCATCCAACTTACAACGAGGACAAAGAACAACTGTATTAAGATTTTTCTTCTTTTCCCTGACCAGAAACATACAACAAACTCGAATCTTGCAACTTCTTGCTTCAAAGAAGACAAAGAAATTGAGTCAGAGATTTCTTATTAAAGCAGTAGAAATGGCTATTTAATTTTCCACCCTTCTCTCAGCAGGATCTCTTTTGAGATGCAACATTTAAGACCTCTCCAGCAGGTCTTGGTTACCTTAATGAGGGGCATAAAGAACACAATTGCAATTATAAGAAACTGTGATCTGTTGTGTTGATATGTCTCAGCTATGTTGTCCTTAAATGAAACATCGAAGACCAGTAACACGACGGAACAAACACTGATTTGCTTTGAGTAGGTGCAACTGCTAAAATGGAAGTAAGCCCTACCTACTTAAGTGTGGTTGTCCTGCTAATATGTTTGCAAGTCAACATGGGCCAGGAACCTCTCTATCCACAAATAGCTAGCAACAAATCCATCTGCCCCTAAGGAGCCAGATATCTCCTTTTGTATACAAGAGGTTTCAAACTGACAGCATTGATCAGTATGCCAGTCCAGGGGCACAGGAAACCACCTGATTGCCTGCTCTCAAATTTTCTTGCAGTCGTTGAGACAAAAGAAGATTTAAAGGAAAATTTTGAAAAGTGGCATTGGTTGACAGATATCTCAAAAAGTTTTCAACTCAGAATGCTGAAAAATAGCTTGAATGGAACAGCTTAAGACTTACTTAATAAGATATAGAGGCAAGTAATTGGTAGTTGTACACATACCTATGGGAAAATACCAAGCTGAAATCCTTTTCTGATTCTGTTTGAGGCTTGAGCTTGAATTGTTCTGAACAAATATATACTCTGTCTAATCCATGGAAAATGACCCTGTCTAGCAGGGGTCATTTTAGTTTCAATGACTCAGCATCTTTGGAGCAAAGTGTATCTTTTTCCCCAAGGCTTCATCACAGAATTTTCAGCTGTAATTCTGAGTTTATTGATCACTCTGTAAGTACATCCAGGAAATAATAGCTTTAAAACTTACAAACTTCAGTCCAGTTGTCAAGGAGTAGTTCTTTTTTCCTGAGATACATCAAATCTCTACAAATTTGCATGCTTAAACAGTTGTCTTAGACTAGTACCATTTAATTTCCTTCTTGATTGATTTCAGATGTCAGGAAAGGTCAGGCCTAATCAGTACTTGGATAGGCAAATTCCCAGGAAACATGTCACAGAGTGAGTTGTGGTGAATCCAACATACTGGACTCACACCCCATGGCTACCTCTCAGCAAGGGCTGGTAGGAAGAACTTTCCATTCCAAGATCTTGTCAGCTTTTGGTCTCTACTGCTCCTGCAGCAGTCTTTGTTATCAGTATGATATTACGTTAATCAAAATTTCATTGAGAAATTACAACAGGCCTAATTCTGCCCATGTTGAAATAGTCAAACTGACTTTAGTGGAAGCAGAATGAAATTATAAACCATTATACACCTAACAGTTCTTGCGTAATTTCAGTTTTGTAAATAATATTTGCTTTTTGTCCTGAGTCATTGGGTAGTGTTATATCCCTTTAAATGGCTCTGCTCTTCTACCCTAGAGGTAACTGTGTGATAGATGAAGTTGTCTCCCTGCCATATACAGCGTATGATGTGCTCACATCTTTGCATGAGGAATTCCAGGCTATTGTATCACCATCACTCCTTCTATTGCAGACACAGTGTCCTCTCCAGTCTGCAGCAGCACTATTAGCTCAGTTTCAATTGTGACAGAAGAGAAACACAAACAGAAGCTCAGAGAAAGCAAAGATATAATTATGATTCAGCCTGCCTGAAGAAGTCAGCAGCATTTGCAATATTCTGCTCAATATATTCAGCAGTGAAATTGGTGGACTTTTTTGCTTATTCTCACTTCACCTCTGTGAAGTTGCCTTAAGTACATGCCTCTTTCATATACTTACATTAACACCCACTAATGGCAAATATTGAAGTATGTATCAGGCTGCTGATACATACAATGGATGCTGCTCTAGCCCAGCATTCTGTTCTTGTGTTTTGATGTTATCCAAAATAGGAGTTGGACAAGCAGTTTTCTCACTCTTCCTTTTTTGTCACCCCTCACTATGGTGGTTGTTCTTTGTAAGCCATTTCTTTTCCTTCCTGCCCACTGCACAAACCCAGTATTGTGTAGCATGAAATGAGGAACAAGGGGGGCGCAGACTGCTCCTGTGTGCCCCCTGCCACTCCAATTCTCTTGTTCATTAAAAGCTCCTATTGACTTTAAATCAGTTCCACAGGGCTTTGTGTTGACAGAAATTTGCCCAGAGACAATTTGGCTGAATTTTGTCTCCAGACTTCAAAGAATCTTGCACTTGTACATGTAGTTCAGACAGAATTATTGATAAAGTTGGAGTGGGATTAACAAAAAGTGCTGCTGGGGCCACAGCTGTAAACTCTGAACCTGTGATATGTCATGGAATATTGGGGTTTATATCTGACTTTTACAGCTCCCCAAATGAAACCAAGTCATATATGTATTGTTTGTTTTCAACTTTCTGCCTGTTTTAGGATTTAAAATTTTACACAGTTTTTTGTGTGCATTAATTACTACAGGTACTTCAACCTGAAGATGTTCATCACAGTCAAAAAAGATAAATCCTAGACCTTTAGCATGTAAGAACAAGAATCACCCTTATATTGAATTATCTTTATTTTATTATATATAATAGTGTGTATATTATCTATGTAAACCATTACCGTGTCTTGAAATGCTGATCTTTTTCAAAGCCGAGTTTCCATGCCTGAATTTTAGCTTGTAAATAGCACTGGCCAGATTAGACAGCATTTTATCTAACAGAAGATTTTCAGCATTTGAATCAACAATGAAATCTGAATGACTGGAGTCGGAATGGAGGGAGAGTGGGATTGAAATACCTTAAAGATTTCATTTTAAAATGAAAATTTTAGATGCTTCAGAAATGGTGAGATGGTAGTTGAGCATTCTGAAGCTCTGTTGAGAAGTTCTTAAATGAGATATGTATTCACACCAACCTCCAAACAACATCCCCTGCCAAAAATCCTAAAAATGCCCCTCTAACATATATGTTAATATTAAAACAATACTTCTAACTTCGTGAGATATTCTATAGTTCACACTTAAATTTAAATAGCATAGCTTGTTCAAATGGGGTTGACAGCTCATGGGATAACTCAGTATTTTCAACTTCAGAGGTTACTTGATTTGTCTAGCTGGGCTGGCTACAATCAGCAGCTGGAAAGCCTGATGAAGTGTTATGTCCTTCTTGCTAACCACTGTATCATCCCTTTCCATCTGCTCCAATCCTTCACACCACTGGCACAAACGGGCAACTCCCCCAGGCTCTGTGCTCTCACAAGCAGGGGGGAGATGCTGGGGACAGCCCTCACATGGGCTGTGCAAAGAGTGAGGCTTCAGACCCCTTCTCCTGCAGGGTGAGGGGAGTAGAGAGTAGGGAGCATAATCCAGCCGTCTGTATTTTTAGCCTCTTTAAAAAAGTAGGCTAAAGAATAGGATACCTCTGATTTGTAATCAGGTTAAATGCCAACAACTCTTTATTCTTTTCTCTGAGTGCTTCACACTTCCTGCTAATACACATGTGCCTCTGGCCTAGGATGCACATTTCTAGTCCCCTGAACTACAGTCCCTCAAAGAAAATCTTAAGTCCCCTTTTCCTCAGTATAATGTCATTATCAGAAACTTTGCGTGACTTCTTGTGGGGTATCAAACTATTCTGTCAATATCCTCAACCCTTAGCAAGCTGTGAAAAGGGTTAGTGCCTGATAAGGGATGTTAAGCTCATATGAATTTGCCTCTGAATGATAAAGTGAAAAATACCAGGCTGATTCCCATAGGGTGGCTTTCTACAGTAACTTCTTGAATTAATTTCTCTAAGTAGATACAATATGTGTAATTAAAAGTATGTCTACATGTGTGTGTAGATTATTTGTAACTTTATAAATATATTTTACTTAATTTTAAATATCTGTTTTATATATTATGTATAATGTATGATTAAAAGTGGAATCAGCCACTGGCTTGTGTTGTATCACAGAACTTCCCTTTGCTCTGGGGGGATCCAGTGGTCACAGAATCACAGAATATGCTGAGTTGGAAGGCACCCACAAGGTCACTGAGTCCAACAGTCATAAGGGACTGTTTTGTACTAGGACATTTGTGGACTCACATTATAGGACTCAGACCAAATTCTCAATGATTGAATCCACAGAGGCAATTTTGAGGGTTCTTCTGGTGCTGCTGGCATGTTGTACATCTCCCATTACCCGTTCCCAGGGGGCTGCCAGTGAGCTCTCCAGAGCATGCAAGGGTTCACATTGACTCTGCACATGGGGTGCAACCAGTGCCATTGTCAGCACTTGAGACTGCAAGCAGCACACACACAGGCTCACAGCGCTGAGCACAAGTCCCAGCCACGGGGGATTCCTCAGAAACCTCAAAGGATTGGATCCCCCTGAGTAGCCACTGCCATTCTCTGCTGGTAGAGCACATAGGGGCAAGAGAAAAGATGACTGACATGTCCACCTCACTGAGCTCAGCTATATTTTATACCAGGGCAAGTCTTTTCCAACCTCAGTTTCACGTCAGGGATTACCTTCAGTTTGGGGAGGAGATTGCATCCTTTCCTGTCCTGAGATAGGGCTGGAGAGTATGCAGAGAGATGGGGAAAGCTCCTCTCTGGCTTGTGATCTCCTCTCAAGTGGGAATCTTGCTGGGAAGCCACCCAAGGCAAAGGACACTGCAGCAAGAGTGCACTGCACACAGGCTGACCACCCTTGTTTCACGCCCAGTGAGTCTGGTAGTTTTGAGATAGGACTATCTTCATTCACATGGGAGACACAGTGGAGAACAAGCAGGCTGAGGTCTTCAGCAATAATTTGTGCCTTCTTGTTTGTTTGTTTGAAGACTGGAAAGCACACACATAGTCTTCAGGTGTGAATTCCACCTATGGGAGCCTGGCAGACAAAGACAGTGGGATGGGGAGAATCCCAAACTCACATGTGGCTCTTCTTGGATGCAATATAGTTAAATTCTTCATTTCTTCGCCCTGAGACACATATGGTTTGGCACTCATCTGACACAGCTCTCAGTTTCCCCAAATTAGGAGTGATATCACTGTCGACCACAAACAGTCAATGTTATCAATGCCTGTGAAAGTTGAGTTGCAGGAAAATGAAACCCTCTGTGGTACAGTGAACGGTGTTTTATGGAGATGCTGCTAATTTTATCTTCCCTGTGCAACTTCAGTGTTTGCAGACCGAAGCAGACAGATGACCTAGCAAACAGTTCACAAAAGCCAGTCACTGCAGCACATCAGCAGATTTTCCTTGTGTTTGCCACAACTGCCATGTAAACGCAAGAGCTCCCCAGTTGGAATCTGCCTCTTTTGTCCTGGGGTACTGTATCACTTTGATCCCTCTGTGACCATAATTGATCTTAAGTGGGTCCAAAAGTCACGAAGTCACACAACTTAAAAATTTTAATGCTACCATCCAAGGAGGAAAGTCTCAAACACCTTCCCTCCTACAAAAATAAATTATGAAGCAACCACTATTGCCTGGAGAATAAAGCAAGCTTTGTCTCCAAAAAAAAAATTGATGAAAGGATTTTAAAATATCTCTAGGCAGCCAGTTGAAGTCTGTAATACATCTTCTTGGAAAACAAATTAACATATTCCCTCCCATAAATAATTAAATTCCAAATAAATTCCTATGAAAATAAATTCTCATCAAGGTGAGCAAACAAAATCCAGTCTTAAAGGAGTATAAACTTTGACTCTGAGTGGTGCAGTGAAGGGGAAGAAAGAACCGCATTGTCGTGTTTCGACTGCATAAGACAGCAATCCCACTGGACTTATTTCTCTGGTACTTATTTCTGGGAAATACTGCTCCACTTTAATTTAGTTTCTATTTTATATCTAATTATAAAAAAAGTAAATACTCCTAAAATGATGTTTTAAGAAGGCAGCAAAGAGACACAGTTCTAAAATAATATAGACCATGAAAGCCAAAGCAACTTTTGATAAAAGTCCTGCTACAATGGTTGTTTTTTTCTCTTACTATTATGTTGAAAACAAAATGTACTGCAAGTACATGTTTGGTAAAGTCTGTTTCAAAAAGTAACATGAGATGAAAACCAGTGTTTTTTGTACTTAAACAAATCTTAAAACCTTTTTTTCATGTGCAGGTAGTATGTGGATTATCACACAACTATTGATTGGTTAAGACCAATGGTTTTTACTTTTTGCCATTCAAAGCTTATGGCAAAAAATAATTGCCTCATTACCACATTCTCAGTAATCGGTTTTGTTTATATCATTCAAAGCTCAAACCAGGGCTCTGTCAAAATTAAGTAGACACAAATTCTGCTCTTTGGCTTCTTAATTAATGCAAAGATTTAAATCTACCATTTCATGCTGTCAGTTTGATAAAATGTTTATAGTTTGGCGAAGTAAGTAAGAGGAAAATGAGAGGTTTTTCAACCCCACAAAGGAGTCAAGATAGAATAGTGCTAACAAGGACTAGACATACTTAAATGTGCACATCATGAGGTTCTGCAGCAGTTCCATACAAGCAGCGACCCAGTCCAGCTGGGAATTTGTTGATCTGTGTGATCTAAACCTGTTGTGTCTACCAACTGCAGATACATGCTCTTCTGCTTATGGCAGCTTGGTGCCCATGATATTCAGCAGAGTATAAATTCAGGCTGACAAACAACCCTAAATATCAGTAAAGGAAATTACTCATAAGCTCCCCAGCAACTTCCTCAAACGTGCTGAGCAATCATGTTGATGGCTGCAGCAAGGATCACAATAAGAGGGTGTGTGATATCCACCCAAAGAGTACATGGTGTAAGAGGTATGAGGAGCAGCTCCTTAGCTCACGATCTGCTGTAGCTGGTGTGGTGGGATAAATTCCCTGGCCATCAAGGTTAGAAGTTGCCTGTTCCTTCCCTGAAACCCTGGTAAGAAGGAACACATCAGAGCTGCTAGGCAATTGAAATGGCAGAAAAAGGGTCAAGAGAGTCAAGAGGTTGTGGACAACTTCTGTTGTTGTGCCTTGAGGCCCCTGTGGAATGTAAGTGTAAAATGCGGCCAGAATTTCATGTTAATGTAAAAGACTTAATGGTAGTAGCTGTGTGAAGCTGAGTTAGCTGGATATCTCAGCCACACAGAGGGGTAATGTCTTCCTGGAGAAGAAATAGCTGGTATGAAATATTCACAGTGATTTAGGACAACCCACAGGTTTTTTTCTGTCTTGGTATTTGGCACCTGCCTTGTGCCATAATCTTACCTGATTCTACCTTGTGGCACTGACCTAAAGGATAAGACAAAGAAGCCCTCTCAGCTTCTCTTCTTTCCAGAGCAGAGCACGCATGCCAGTGATCATCTCCCACTCTGCAACTGCACTTTGGAGAGCACAGTGCCACCTTGGAAATGGCTTTTGATTTAATGTAATAAATAAAGTCAACTTGTGTCCTATGATAGCAGAACTTATCTCCAGCCACCACTTGAGGCTTTTTATTTACCTGATTTTTTTTTTTTTATTGTGTTGCTGAATAAGTACAGTGTGTTTCAAGTGTTTCAAGTTGAGATAATTGATACTGGTATTGCAAAGAC